ATCTTGCGGTCAGGGATTGCAAACTCGGGCCACATTTTCCCAATGGCTTCATACACAGAAGGAATTACTTAATCTTGACATCTCTAATGCTGGAATTCATGACCCCTTACCTGATTGGTTTTGGGATCTCTCTCCAAAATTATATCGTTTTAACGCATCACATAACAAAATTCACAGCGTCCTTCCTGATTTATCTTCGAAGTTTTCCACTTACATGTACATAGATTTGAGCGATAATCAGTTTAATTGTTTATTGCCAAGTTTGCCTCTTAAAGCATCAGTACTGGAATTTTCAAATAACAAATTCTGGGGCTCAATTACTGATTTATGCAGTAATGCTAGTTCTTGGGAATATCTTGATCTCTCCAATAATCTATTGTCGGGGCAACTTCCAGATTGTTTTGCAAATCAGATGAGCTTAAAATTTCTTAATTTGGCACATAATAATTTCTCGGGAAAGATTCCTTTGCCAAATAACATTTCTTCTTTACATTTACAAAATAACAGTTTTACAAGAGAAATACCAGCATCATTGAGGAATTGTACGTCTTTACATTTTCTTGATCTTTCAGAAAATAAGTTGACCGGTGAAATACCCACGTGGGTGGGAGATCATTTGTCAAAATTGGTCCTTCTAAATCTGCGTTCCAATCAGTTCTTTGGTACCATTCCTTTAAACTTGTGTCATTTAACTCTTTTACAAGTCCTAGACATCTCTTTCAACAAGATTTCTGGTACTATACCGAAATGCTTAAGCAACCTCAGTGCTATGGTTCAGCAAGTGGAGTTTGAGTTGTATGCGTATATTCAATCATCGCGATTTATTTACCTTGAGGATGCAGAAGTGACATGGAAAGGAAAGGAAAACGAGTACATAAAGAGTCTTAAACTGGTGAAGCTCATTGATCTTTCAAGCAATATTTTAGTTGGTGAAATTCCTCCTGAAATTACAAGTCTTGTGGGTCTAGTTCCGTTGAATCTTTCAAGAAACAACCAAAGCGGACTCCTTCTTGTGAAGCTTGGACTGTTACAAACTGCTCAAGATGATTTCCGGGCTCAGTTAACCTTTAAAACACCGAATCAACACCAAAACCGAAGGTACCCGCTGCCGACCTCACGAGTTCTACCTATGGTTGCTTTTCTTCCTTCTGCTTGTTGTTTGCTCACTCACAAAGAATGAATACCACATAGGTAAGAGTCACAAAGACACAAACAAGAGGTAGACAAGATCAAGGAGTAGAATGCACGAAGAAGAAGAAGACACGGCCTCTCTCTCGCTCTCGGGTTCTTTCACAAAAAGGGGACCAAGGAAGGCTACGAGAGTTACCAATATATATAGTAAACCAATGACAAACAATAAGGTAAGTTATACATATGGTAAGTGGGCTCGACTAGGGTTATGGCCCAATAGCATACCAACAAGCCACAAGGGTTTATTAGCCATCCAATAGGTAAAACAACGTTAAGTCGGGTCATCCCATTATTCGGTGTTGATTTATCGTTCAGTCATTCATGTCGACTGATAAAACTGGTTTACATTATCACCCGGGAGGTCGTTTGACAACATGATGTCTATCAACCTCCACCTTGGTGTCAAAGGACCTGCAAAGAGAAAACGTTTTCCATTAGTAACACCTCTAATAGAAAATCGATAAAATTGAAAATCATTTACCTATACCGATATTTAGAAGCTCCTTGCAACTTCTAAACTTTACCAGTGGCAGCACTTTCGTACCCATATCCAAAGGATTATATTGTGTGTGAATTTTTTCAAGTCTTACTACTTCTTATGATATTATATCCCTAATGAAGTGTAGCCTAACATTGATATGTTTAGTGCGTTCGTGAAAAACAAGATTCTTACATAGATGTATGGATGACTGACTATCAGAATACACAACCACATACTCATTCAAGACATTTAGTTCATGAAGTAGACCTCTAAGCCATAAAGCCTCTTTAATTGCTTCAGTGGTGGCAATATATTCTGACTCTGTAGTGGATAGTGCAACTATGTGTTGTAACTGTGATTTTCAACTAACACACGAATTTGATAAGGTGAATACATAAGAGGAAGTTGATTTCCTACCATCCCTATCTCCTGCATAGTCAGCATCTACAAAACCCTTTAATTTCACGCCTTCCTTATTAGCACTAAATTTTAGACTTACGTCACTTGTACCCTTCAAATATCTTAAAAGTCACTTTAATGCTTCTCAATGTTCAGGACCTGGATTAGACATGTACCTACTGAGAGTACTAACAATGAATCCTAAGTCCGGTCTAGTGCAAACCATCAAATACATTATGGAACCAATCACATTTGAGTATGGAATTTTACTCATGTATTCCACTTCACGTTCATTGCAGGGAGCTTATTCTTTAGATAGAACAAAATGGTTTGCAAGAGACAACGTGACAGGTTTGCAGTCACTCATATTAAACATTTTCAACACCTTTGATATGTATGGAGACTGATGAAAAATACGATAGAATTTGACCTATTTCATTCTATTTCCATGCCTAGAATCCTTTTAGCCTTTCCTAGGTCATTCATGTCAAATTCTCCACTAAGGTCTGCTTTTATATTGTTTATCCACTTAGGAAATGATCCAACTAAAAGCATATCGTCCACATAGAGCAACAAGAATAAATAATTGTTATAAGTCTCGTTGTGTTGAAAGTACAGGTAGTGATCGAATTTATTTCTTTGAAATCTTATAGTGAGTACAAAGGAATCAAACCTCTTGTACCACTGTCTAGGTGATTGTTTTAGATCGTATAGGGATCTCTTCAGAAAACACACATAATCAGGTTTTAACTTGTCTTTAAAACCTTTTGGTTGATTCATAAAGATTTGTTCATCAAGCTCTCCATGTAAAAAAGCGATTTTTACATCGAGTTGTTCAAGTTCCCAGTCAAAGAGCGCAACCAATGCGAGCATGACCCTAATAGTAGTGTACTTGACAGCTGGTGAGAAAATCTCGTTATAATCAACACCTTCTTTCTGTGTGTAACCCTTCGCTACTAACCTAACCTTAAATCTTAAGGGTTCTGAACTACTAGTACCTTCCTTAACCTTAAAGACCCACTTGCAATTAACGATTGATTTATTCTTAGGTCTCGGTACTAACTCCCAAGTTTGATTCTTTTCTAGAGAACTCATCTCTTCTTTCATAGCCTTAAGCCACTCCTTAGATTAACCACTATTCATAGCCTCTTCAAAAGTTTTCGGCTCCCTATCAACTAGTTCTTCGTAACTAGCGTATGCAAAATCCAATTCAAATTCAAACCCGAACCTCCTAGGCTCTCTCGTTTGTCTTCTCTCTCTCTATCCCTAACTAAATTATAGTTAGCTAATGGATTTTCTTCCTCAAGATGCTCTTCTATCACTACTTCATTTTCCTCTTCAGGTTTTTGGACCTGAATCTCCACCTCACTCGAAGTACTAGGTACTGATGTGTTAAATTTTCCTAACTCCACCTTAAACCGATTTCTTTCTTCACCTGATTCAGTTTCACTTACAGGTTCGGTTTCGTTCCTTAGACAAGACATCTCACTCTCATTAAATGTGACATCCCTACTCACGATGATTTTAACTCCTTTTTGGCTTCTATCCCATAACCTATAGCCCTTAACCCCTTCGGGATATCCTAGAAAGACACACTTCCTGGCTCTAGGTTCTAATTTTCCCTCACTTTGATGAGAGAAGGCAACACAACCAAAAGCTTTAAGCATTGAGTAGTCGCCCAATTTTCCAGACCATTTCTCATGTGGAGTATCACCATTTAATGCAGCCGATGGAGTCAAATTTATCAGATAACAGGCAGTTACAACGACTTCACCCCAAAATGACTTAGGAACCCCAGAACTTAACATCATGCAGTGCACTTTATCTAGTATGGTCCTATTCATTCTTTCTGCTACCCCGTTTTGCTGGGGAGTATAGGAAACCGTTTTGTGCCTTGTTATTCCACTTTCTTTACACATCCTATCGAATTCAGCATTACAGAATTCTAGGCCGTTATCTGTCCTTAAAAATTTGATCCTCTTGCTAGTTTGGTTTTCCATTTGTTTCTTCCAATTGTTAAAGTTATGAAAGGTTTCAGTTTTGTCTTTCAATAGATAGACCCATACTTTTCTGGTGCAGTCATCTGTGATAGATAGGAAATACCTATTCCCACCCGATGTGGGATTACTAGTTGGATCCCACAGATCAGAATGCACATATTCAAGCATGCTTTTAGCCTTATGCGTACTAGTGGAGTACGACACTCTATGGTGCTTTCCGAGCACATAGTGATCACAGAACGATAGGTCAGACACACAGTCATTACCAAATGCACATTTTTCATTAAGTAGCTTAAATCCCTTAATGCCTACGTGTGCAAGCCTACTATGCCACGTATGTGTGTGATCGATTTTGACGGAAGAAATAGAGGAGTTTAATCCTCTAATTACTTCCCCAGTAGTGATGTAAATATCGTTTTTCTTGATTCCCTTAATAGATATTAACGCACCCTTCATCATTTTAAACATACCGTTTCCAATTTTACCGGTGAAGTTGTCGTTCTCAAGTCTTCCTACTGAAATCAAATTCCTAGATAATTCAGGAATGTATCTAACTTCCTTTAACATGTACACAAAGCCCGTGTTAAATTTTATCTTTATATCTCCAATTCCAGCAATTGTATAGGCAAAGTTATCACACAGAACTACTTGCCCATCATTAGATTCTTGCAAATTTTCAAACTAGTTCTTTTCAGACGTCACATGAAAAGACACACGAGAATCTAATATCCATTCATGCATGTGAGAATTAGTAGTTAGATTCAATTCAGTAGTGTATGCGACTGGACTAGTGATCACATAGACTTCACCGTTTTCGGTATCGAAGGTAGAGGATAACACATTTACCTCATCTCTTTCCTTAACCTTTTGTTTTCCCCTTTCTTTATGGCAGTCTTTTATAAAATGCCCTGTGCCTCTACAGCCATAGCATTTTCTAGCCTTAGTTCTAGACTTTGACCTAGGTCTACCATTGCCCTTCTTTTTCCAACTATTACTACTTGATTCGCCACTACTTTGGTATCCATCATGACTGGCTTGCCTAAATTGAGTTCTACCCCGCATCATATGCAACTCTCCACTCTTCCTATCCTGTTTTTCAACCCTCATTTTCATCTCTTTACTCCTAAAAGAATCTACGACAATTTCAGGTGTTAACGTGTCCCTACCATATTTAATGACATTCTTAACTTCTTTATAAGAGTCCGGGATTGAATTGAGCAAGATTATAGCCTTATAGGTCTCAGACACGGCTTCGTCACAATTGACAATATCTTGCACCAATTTGTTAAATACATCTAAATTGTCGTCGAGATCCTTTGAAGGATCCATCTTAAAGCTGAAGAATCGTTCGAGTAGGTAGAGTTTATTCAGTGTAGATTTAAGCAAGTATAAGTCTTCTAGTCTTTTCCAAAGTTCTTTGGGGGTTTTTAGTTTTCCCACTTTTCTTAAGACAGCGTCAGACAAGTGTAATATTATTGAGGTATAGGCAAGCTCATCGGCTTCCTCTTTTTGTTCTTTTGAGATGTCAGGTGCAAAATTGCCTTCGATGGCTTTTGACACCTTTTGTTGGACTAATATGCCTCTCATCTTTTGTTGCCAGATAGAAAAGTCCCCTTTACCGTTAAATATTCGCAAATCAAAATTATGTGTTGTCATTGGTTAACACACTAATTAGACCACACGAAGTAGTATTGGAAAGCGTGATAAGGTAATATCTTGTTAATTCTTAGCAAAAGTAACAATGAATCTAAACGCTACGTCCACCAAGAAATACCAAGCACTTAAATCAAAAGAACAAGCACTTAATTAACGCAAGTAATCCTAGTTCTAGCATAAGCAATGGTTACCCCTTCACGGTAACCCCAAAACCTAACGATCACCCCATATGATGATCTTGCTATTGCTAAATTTAAATGGATTAAGCCAATTTACCAGAGCAGACCTATCTGAGTCCGTAGAGTGGAGAAAAACGAGCTTGTTGTTCAATTGCAGTCAGCGTCGCACCAGGGGCAAAATCGTCCAACTTTTTCTGTGTAACCTGAAACACAAAACAAAGTATATCAGTGCGTTCAGGAGATCGAAACAAACAAGTTACCTGAAGATAGCTTC